TTTATATTGGGGTGGCAAGAGAACAAGAATAAAGGTTTTACGCCTGTACATACATTGTTCATACATTATTTTCACGCTGAGTGAACAAGTTGAAAATAGTTTGTGCGCTCTATCTGCATAGCGCTAGGAAGCCACTAAAAAATTGCAAACTTGTTTGGTGGAAAGAAATTAAAGATTTTCTTAAAAGTAAAAATAACATTTTAACAGAAAGCAAAGGATATAACACTTTTAATAAAGTACAAATAAGCCCGTACAAATAATACGTATAGATTTAGGTATCTGAGTAGAGAAATATCGATCTTTCACAAATTTTCACCTGCTAACTTTTTGGTTTAATTTTGTTTGGTCGGTATGCCGCAAGAAAATTTTAATTTCTAGCTGTGACGCTAATTTTGCTGGTTTTAACTGTAACTTGTATTTATTTCAGGCGCACACCGGAGGAAATAAAAACTAAGGTTGATTCATATCGCCAAAAATTAATGGGACTAGGAAAAAGTGATTTGCCTAAAGATGAATTCGGAAGAATAGCGTAAGTGTATTAAATATATATGTTTATGTATAGTTCCTAGGCAGGGTTATTTGCCGTTATGTCCGACTGCAAAGAAAAATAAGAAAAATTAATTTAAAATTAAATTTCTTTAGAGAACAAAACAAGCTAGCTAGTGTATTTAAAAAGTTTTAATTGTTTTTATATCCCATATTATATAATTTTGATATGTAATATGGGTTCTGATGTTATTGCATGCAATTTGCAACCCCAAAAGCTGCTGTATGCTGTATAACTCACAAGCGAAGATATTGTTCTCTCTACTTTGTGCCCTACTTACTCACCACCCACCACCACGCAAGGTAGATGTCTGTAATTTTTAAGCTCAAATCATTTGCACTCTGCACAGATTGCAGAGATGTTTAGTCAACTCAAGTCTTCCAAGGGTTGCACAACCCAAACGCTGTGCATATTTAATTGACTTCAAATAAATCAATATACAAACATATTAGAAATAAAATATAATCATATTATTTGAAAAGCAAGCTAATTGCATTACTTTAAAGTAAATATAAATAATAAAAGTGCTGCTGCTGTACAAAAGATTCTTATTAAGACTGGATATGCATGTGTGGAAACCATTTTTGGCAATTTGAGAAAAATCGATAATCAACGCAATAAGAGATACATCTTCATGGAACTAAAAAAAAAACCACTGCAGTATGTTTTGGTGCCAACTACCAATTTGGAAATTTGACGAAAATTATCTAGTAACTGGCGACGGTGGCAAAATCCGAAAAAAAAGAAAATTACTTGCCTATTTTTACGATGGGCTGAATAAAAATTCGTTTGAAAGGTATTCATTACAACAAAGCCCCACTAACAAATTTCCATAGTAAAATGCGTGGGTATTGGAGCTGCGTATTAGAAAATTTATGCGGTTTCTCCGTTACTAAGTGGATTAGAGGATTAACGTGAATTTGAAAAAAAGAAGCAAGTGGAATATGCTTGAAAAGCGAAGCAAAAAGAAGTTATAAAGCGGCAGAAGAAATGCTATAAACTTCAAATTAATGCAACAAATCACTCATCACAGAGTCTTCCATTTAGGTGATTACTATTTAAGCTAATTAGTCAGGAGTTTAGTACCATATTGACTAGGCTCCAGATAGCGCGAAAATAAAAATTCTGCAACAAAAAATAAATAAAATAAAATAAATGAATTAACTGCGCTCGAATAAAAATAATAAAATTCTTTGTACGCGCGTTCAAATTATAAAAAAAGTTAGTAATAATAAAATAAATTCCAGTACACTCGTAGTTTATAGCAAACGTCAGTGGGATGCCCTTATAAAGGGATCTAAAGCTATATTTCGTATTTATGCATAATCCAACGTCTTCCATGTTGCTAAATCAAACAACAAAATATTTATAACATTTATAAAATTTGCTGAAACATTGATAGTATTTAAGAAATAAATAAAAACGAAGATAGTTAAGTATAATCCCATGTCTTCCTGCGTGTGCGCTGAAAATATAAATTCTATAAGTGATATATACATGTTTAATGAATATCATATTAATATTTTGACAAGAAATATTTCGCTTGTGAATTCATATTGATTACTAAGAAAAAATAAACATGTGAAACTCCTCATACTATAAATAATCCAATGTCCTCCATAACATTAATGTAGTTATACTATGAAATAAGAAAAAAATAATTTTATGTAAAAGCGGAAAACTAATATTTATATATATGACCCCATGTTTTTCTTGTGGCAGACGCATTAATCTGTATATGTTCGTATACAAACTAATCGTGTAAACCAATGAAACTAAATTTACACGGAGTAAAATTGATAACTTTAAACTATTAAACAAAAACAGATATACATACATATTTTGTTAATATACATAACAAAAAAAAAATACCAAATATGCTTTCCTCAACCATTCACACGGCACCGATCGATAACGATGTAACTTCAGATGTTTTCAAAATGCCGAAACCAAAAAAGCGCCGCAAGCGTCGAAAACGCACTACTGCCGCTCCACCCACAAAGTCCAACGCAACTTCCGCGACCGCAAGAGAGGCCGACAATACACTCTCCGTAGCCACTGTCTCCAGCACCACCAGCACTTGCACGAACACAACGACACGTCGTCGCGCTGTTCACAAAGAGCGCCGCTATTTTCAACATGATACGCGTGAAATTGTCAAAACGATAACAAAGAGTGAACTCAATTATGCTGCAGTAGCGAAGAAATTCAAACCACTTGCAACATTGAATAAAAATAGAATGCAAAACAAACCGGCAAAGCACACAAACCCATGGCATAAACAACAAATGAAATTCAACAAACGTCAGCAGCAGCTACAAACGAAAATGCCTACAAAGCATCTGGCAAAATATGCTCCACACTTTTGTGCCTCATCAACAGCCACCACTACTTCGTCACAGCCTGTTCATTGCAATTGCGCATGTGCCATTGCCACCGTCGCCACCCCACATACCAAACGGAAGTGCCAGAAAAGCAACAATTGCGAAAGTCATACATTTTCTAATAACAAACGGCCGGCTGTGGATCTGAAACAACAATCTTCCATAGCAGTCGAATCTGCTTTAATGGTAGAAGAATTGTTGAAAAAACTACTTAAAACTCAAGCTACTAATGTCAATATTGCCACTTCAATGCCACATTTGCTGAGTTTAATGCCACATTCCGGCATTGGTTCCGGATCCGGCCAGCGAATATCGCTGTTAGATTCGCTTTTAGGCGCACACTTTCAGCATACGACTAGTCTGCGCCAGCAGCAACTTAGACATGTCGTTAGGTATATATGTACATACTTGCTAAAAAAAAATAAATGGTTTAGATTTTATATGTTTTAATTAGAGATTTTAGCGTCCCTTACTTTTTTTTGCCCTTTAACACAAAAACTTGAATCTCACTTCTTTTACTTTCAGTGTTCGTGAGACGCATCAAATTGCTGAAGCACAGCAAGAGAAGAACGCTAAATTACGTGAAGCTTTCAACATTTCTGAATACTTTGTTGAAGGCTCAAGTTTTGATTCGGATCGTAAAGCAAAGGAAGATTTAGCTAAAAGCCTGGCGCTGCAAAAGGAGCTTGACGCGCAACGCGAAAGCGCCACAGTAAGCAAAGATAAGGATAGGGAACGTGCAGATAAGCGACGTTATGCATTAGTGCGCACGCCATCGCGTGAAAAAGACATTGCTGGCAGTGGTGGCAGCAAAGGCGGCAGTGATAATGAAACTCATGAGCATGTATCAAAATCAGAGAAGAAGAAAAAGAAGAAGCGCACGCGTGAAAGGTGAGTTTTAGTTGTAAAATTTGATATGGTGCATTTCCAGTGCTGCATATTTCAAGCATTTTTATTAGTAATTCCTTAGCCACTAAACCTTAAGCGTCAGTAAGTTTCTACATATAACTTCAATTATTTTTCTATTGGCTTGAAATTCGTTTAAAAAACGATTCGTAACAATAACAATTACGTAGCACATAACTCCCTAAGGCAGCGAACTCTTTATCCCTATTTCAATAGCGTTTTAGTATTTTGCATACAAATAACAAGAGATAGATTAGACAGTTTTAAAGTATATCCATTGCTGAAATATATTTGTCAGTTTCTCAATGCTAGTTGTTCTTTCTTAGTTGACCTCAAAACTGGAATTAGTAAGGCTATCCTAAAACTTTCGAGTCGGATATACATATGCATGCACAGAGGCGTTAGTTGTGTGGGGTTATCCGGGCATACGAAGAGATGTTTCGAGTCTCGTTGTCTCTCCGCATGCCGGACACTCATTTAACACATCTGCATCTAATCTGCTCAGGTATGAGTTTATGCCCTCCTGTTGCCGAAGTGAAATACCCGGCTGTTGTTTCGGCGATCTAACCCCGTTTAGGTCGGCGAAGTATCTCAGAAGTTGTCCGTCCATAGGGC